ACTATAATTCACAGCTCAAATTAACTTTTTATCAGTTTTGAGACGCAAATATAACCAAACTGGAAGTCTTATTTCTAAAAAGTGTCAAAAAGATAGGTTTAGATCTACATATAAGCTTTCTAAAATGTCCAGAATCGTAGCAATCCGAGCAACGGTTAAGAAGTTATCTCATATTCAAAACAGCATCTCGGGTAGATTTGGTGCTGTCAAAATCACCAATTAAATAGGCTAAAATCTATATTTTGGATTCAATCTTTATTCCAACAATCAAAATACCATCTAACCATGTTTATATTATTGATTACAAGATCAATACTCAAGAATTTCACCAAAATAGCCATTAATGAAGAAAATCAAAGGAATGATACCAAAGCTTCTAAAAGGTTAGTATGAACTCACATAGCGGGATTTAGGAAAATCCCAAATCTTTGAAATAATAGGTAGCGCCTGCTGCGGCTGCTGTTGGTCTGAGAACGTGCTGGCAGCGGGGAAACAGTCATAACAGGGGCTGCTGTTTGGCGAGCAACAAATGGACAACAACGACAGGGGCTGTTTTTGCGTGACACAGCAACGCAAAGTACGGTGAGATACAACAGCTACTGCTGCTGCTGTTTGCTGTTGGGTGAAGGGTGCGGCACGATGGTTCAGTACAACAGGTCGTTGATGCTGATGTTTGGTCAAGATGGTGCAGAAAACACGCATCTATTGCTGCTGTTTTGGCGTGGCAGCGAAGGCAACGCAGCGGCTCGATACAGCAGGTTGTTGTTGCTGCTGTTTGGTGCAGATTGAAAGGACGTAGGCTGCTGGTACTGGTCTGAGGAGGCGACGAAGTGCGCAGCAGAGCTGCTGTTTGGGCGAGGGAAATGAAAGAAAACGCAGCAAATCTGCAGTTTGGCGAGAGGAGGTGGAGGAATAGCACAACAAGGCTGTGCCTGCTGTTCCGAGCTGTGAAGATGGCTGGAGCGTAGGCGGACACGGCTGGAGGTGCAGGTGGGTATTTGGGCGGTGTTAAGGGTCAGCACCGACAGCTGAAATATCCCTCCCAAGGTTATTTTCCTTGAGGCCACATCCCTTCTCTTCAAGACTAGCAGCTGCCATTCACCGACTTCCCCCCTCTCATTCCCTACTTTCTTTTCTTTTTATAAAACAAAGACTAAGGACCTATAGGTAAGAGGATTAACCCTTTTTTTCTTTTTCTTTGTTCTTCAAGGTAAGGGAAGTCTACCTGGTAGCGTAAAAGGTAGTAGCTGAGCTAACCCCCCTTTTCCCTCTTTTCATATATAACTATATAAACTAAAGGGAGACTAAAATAAATAAATAAAAATTTCAATAAATTTCTAGATGTTATAATCCTTCCCACCTTGGGATAAATTTCGCCCTCGAAATTTAGGTTTAAGAGACAAGATGGGGGTAACGCCTCTTCAAGTCTTCTTCCGCTTCCCAAGTGACGTTTGACCCTCGGTGATGTTTCCATTGCACTTTAACCATGACAATTTCTTTGTGCCTCAACACTTTGGTCTTCCTCTCTAAGATGGCTTCCGGTTCTTCAACACACCGGTTGTGCTCATCTACAAGAATTTCCGAAAGTGGAATCACACTTTCATCTTCCGCCAAACATTTACGAAGGTAGCACACGTGGAAGGTGTTATGGATTCCGGCCATCTCAGGTGGTTGTTCTAATTTGTAAGCTTGAAGTCTCACTCGAGCTAAAACTTTAAATGGTCCGAGAAAACGGGGGATGTGTTCGCCACGCTTCCCAAAATGGGTAAAGCCCTTCTAGGGAGATACTTTTAACATAACGTGGTTGCCCACATGGCATTCTATAAGTCGGCTCCTTTTATCTTCATAACTCTTTTGTCGATTCTGAGCCGCCTTTTAACGCTCTCGAATACACTCCACCCCTTTTCTGCCATTTCCTACACGATTTCAGGACCGGCGAATCGTCTCTCACCCGCTTCAAGCCAACATACCAGAAAAGGTTCTAAGGTGTTGTACGATTTAAAAAAATAGAAATGTAATTGTACATGCACCTAGAAATCATGCATTATGAGATAAACACAAAAGAATATTTTGGACTAGCTTAGGCAATATAAGACTATTTGCAGCCACCAGGCTTAATGCTAGAACATCTGTACCTAGGGGCTCACCACATCAAATGGTCGATAAAACTACTAAACCATGTTTCAAACTCTTCAAATTAGATTAACAAGAATCAAGTTAAACATCATTGTTACCAAAATTCATTGACCACAAAGTTCACTGTGCTCACTTTTGCCTTCAGTCTCTAATATGTTCTTGACTAGGAAAAACATGCTAATATACCAAGCACGCATAAAAACTAGCTACCTACTTCAAAGATGATCTTGTTCGGTGCTGTATGTGCCATACTACCTCACCATCATGAGCCTTACGACATCAAGATAACTTATACTTGGTCCGTCTGCATATATTGTCAAGCTCCATTTCCTTCTCCTCTAACTCATCAGTATCAGCATCGGGGTTTTCATCAAGTCACTCGATTGTCTCATTGATCTCATATTCTATCTCTTCTAAGTCTTTAACACTAAGCCCCATATCCATAATTAGACTCAACCGCATCTTGTATCGGTTTAAGTTGACTCTCAACCGATACGCATAGTCATTTAAAGCTTTATGGGCCATCGCCTTCTTTATGTGTGCTTCATCCTCTTGCTTATATCGTTCAACATCTTTAATCATCTTGGCAATCTCCGCTTTTGACAGGCCACCGCCGTCGGTTATCTTGATCGCTTTGTTCCTGCCAGTAGTTAGTTCCCTAGCTGAGACATGCAGGATCCTATTGTCATCTATCTCATAGCATATCTTGATCTCAACCCCCCCGGGAGAAGAGGGAAGACCAGAGAGACTAAGTTGTCCCAATTAATAGTTCTCTGAGCTTCTGAGTCTCTCTCCTTGATAGACCAAGACAAGCCCAGCAGTTTGATCATCATATGCTGTATATAACGTATCTTCCTTCTTGGTTGGTATGGGTATATTTTTTTTGAATTTACACAACCATAACATCTCCTTTACAACTTACACCAAGTGACAGGGGTGTAAAAATAATTAGCTTCAACCCAGCACGACTTCATCACCCAGGTCACTCAAGTTTGCAGCTAGATATCCAGTACCATAGGCAACAGCCTCATCAGGAATGATCCGCTCGTAAAGTGACTTGCCATCTGTGCTAGCCCTCTTGTCTAGAGCATAAGCTAAAGCAGCTGCTGTAGGTTCATTAAACATGCGCAGAACTTCAAGTCCGGCAATCTTGGCAGCATCCTTTGTTGATTGTCGTTGAGAATCATTGAAATAAGCTGGAACAGTAATCATCGCCTTTTCAACAGTCGAACCAGGAAATGTCTGAGCAACCCCTTTCATTTTCATCAAAATCATGGAAGATATCTCTTCAGCAGAAAAAATCCTTCTTCTATCCTTGTATTTTACCATAATCTTTGGCTTGTCGCCACTCCCAGCCACCACTTCAAAGGCTACAACTTAATGTCTTCCTGAACAACTTCATCACTTACTCTTCTTCCAATCAATTTGGTGGCGGCTATATCATGGTCATACAGAGGTTAAACCATTGATGCATAAGCATCTCATCAAGTTCCGTTACCGGCCTACTTCGCTGGTGTATCAAGCTGAAGCTTCTATCCCTTGTTATATAAGTCATGTTCAATTTGAGTAGGTACTCAGGTTGTAACATAAGTTCTGATTATTGAACAAGGTGAACGACAAATGCCGATTCCTCACATTTGCATTTCCTTTGGTTAGTGTCGACTGTAGATTGAGGCTGCTACAAATCTTAAATTGTCACCTCTCAAATTTCAGGTAACCAAAGAAGTCCAGTATATTCTACCATTGCGTTTTACCTTTGTTCCTATAGAGTGCCACCACCACACTAAGCCTCTATTATTTAGGCATCTGGATCCCGAGTGTGATGTTGAAGAACTCAGGCAATCACTGCATCCCCATCCGACAAAGGGACTTGGATCAGCTTTTTAGAGCATAAAATTTTCCGCTTGGTTCTCTACCAACCAATCCATCCCGATAATGACATCGAATCCGCCTATAGTCATGGGTATGAGATCTACCCGAAATTCCTTCCCTTCAACTCCCAATACGTAACTTTAACAATCTCACGTACCAGAACCTGACTACCATTTGCTATCTCTATGATCAACGCATTCATAAGTCTTTGCAATAACAGTAAGTTCGAGCACGCTTATGTAACAACATACTCAAAATAGCRTTAGCTAAGTGAAATTTTGAATAGGTTATACATAAGGGTCCTCAATCTCGTCGTCGTAGTTCATGAATCATGAATCTCCGTTCACTCTAAGGCTCTCCTATGTTAGGGTTCCTACCCATAACTCACAAGTTAATGTTCACAATCTCAGCTTAAGTCTAGGCGTCTTAGCTCCTTACCTAGTTCGTTTAAGCTATTGCTCTGATACCATTTGTAACGCCCCCAGGACCCCGTAGCAATGATGTTGTCCGCTTTGACTAACCTGCCCGCTCAACCACAAAGCAGTAGTCGCACGGTTTTGTTTCTCGCAGCCGCACAACGCAAGCCCCAAAACGCGTCATGCTAGGCTGAGATATCCACACCCTTATAAGGAGTGCTTAGTTCTCCTCACCAACCGATGTGTGACTAACCTGCCCGCTCAACCACAAAGCAGTAGTCGTACGGTTTTGTTTATGGCAGCCGAACAACGCAAGCCCCAAAACGCGTCATGCTAAGCTGAGGTATCCACACCCTTATAAGGAGTGCTTAGTTCTCCACACCAACCGATGTGGGATAGGCTGTTACACCCTCCCTGCGTTAGGACACAACGTCCTCGTTGGGCCACATCGATCCGGGTCTGGCTCTGATACCAACTTGTAACACCCTAAAAAAGATAGTCTAAACCGAAAATATCTAATGAGAACTAGAATCTGAGATAAAAACAAATTTCACCCAACAAAACTATAGTATAACGTTTACAATTCTGCTACTGAGAAGATAAATAACAACCTACTTATCTAGATTTTTCTAGATTAAGGACAAGTATTTCTATCAATCTCCAAAAAAGCCATAACATCAAAAAGGTAACGTTCAAAAGTAACAAGACTAATATCTACAAAAGAGCCTTTCACGAACCAACGCTCCTCTCAACCATTTAGAGCCCCACCGTTAAAGAAACCTAAAAAGTAATTATAACAAGAAAGAGAGGGTTAGGCTTACGCCTAGTGAGTCCAAACAAAAAAGTTTACGTAAAAATAAAGGAACATACATAAAAATATACATGTAAATAGTTGACGTAACTTTAAACAGGAATATAGACAGTAAGACCTGAATAACTCGAAGTGGAACAATAAAACATCCGAAATTGACGAGGGAGACCCGATTTACCTTTGATTATGACAGACACAAAGTAAGTCATAGATCAACGTTATAGAGCATCACTCACAGGTTTAATACCATCGACATCAACCTAAACCAGTCATGT